CTTTAGGCAGTCTGTAGCATGAATACAGCCCAAAAGCCCCCAAAAGATCCATGCTCGAAAATGGGCTTCGCACTCGTGCCTCTCGTGTCATAGCTGTCAAGGGTTTACAGGGGTTTACACTGCAGGCTCTGGTGAGAAGCCTTGCATAAGCCCTCTGCCGAGCATTCAGACTTCAGATCGAAGCAGGGTTAGACCGCAGAGCCCTGTGCCCTGCGCTCCAAGACCGACAGCCCCCCCCCCTTCCCCGCGGCTCGTCCCTGCGAGCCGCGCAATCACCGAACAAATGTAACCCTAATTGGCCTACACTGCATTTCTGCTGGATCGTGAGGCATCTCGCACAAACCCGCAAAGACATATGAGCCCAAGCCGACAGCTCAGCCCGAAACGCAACTCCCCGAAACCTTCAGCAAAGAGAGAGATCCTGTAACGCCAAAGAGAAGCACCCCCCTCCCCCCCCCCCTCACATGGAAAAGGCGGTCTCGCAGGAGCTGCATGCGGTGCTCTTGTGGCGGGGCCCTGGGGAGGCGTCGGGCTGCCCAGTGGCTTCAGGGGACCAGGTGGAAGCTTGGGGAAGCTGTAACATGTCGAGAGGGTTCAGTTCACAGCTTGGGGGTTTCAAACGCTTTCTCCTGCGCACCCCGCCCCCCCCCTCAGGCTTTTTTGGTGTGAACGGACAGGCCCTGCCAAACTGCCCCAAACCCTTCGTGATCTTGCGGTCTTTGCTGATGCGCTTGCTGCCAGTGATTGCAACGATGGCCGCTTGCCAGCCTACACAGCGCTGCTAAGCCTGGGGGGCCCTTCGCCTCCAGTCTCAAGGTGCCATAGGCGGAAACTCTTTAAACCCGAAGCCGAGGCTGTGGGAGTTGGGGTTGGCCTCTACCTCGAGAAGTGCAGCACCCGGTTCCGGGGTTCAGATGGGGCTGTGGGGCTGGAGAGTGTTCAGGGCTTTGGGGCGTAGGTTGCCGGATTTGGGTAACCGGTGGTTTTCATGATCCGGATCCCTCTGATCTGAAGTTGCGTGGTTGCTTTCTCTCACTGCCTCCCTGGACCCCCTTCACAATTGTCTTCAATTTGTCCAAAACTCAGCATGGTCAGGGCTCGTGGTGCATGACTCGTGGCAGCGACTTCACTAGACCCTTTTTCCGAGACGTTTGGACAATTGCCAGGAAGTACCGATCTGAGAGCTAGGGGAAGTTGGGCTGTCTGCTTCTTGCGTTGAAAGGGCAAGCGTGCAGTTTAGCGGCAGAAGTTAAATATCCTGCTCGCATGATTTCAGAGGCTCGTGCTGCGTGACACAGGGAACGGGGCCCGCTTGCCCAATCAGCATCTTAATCACCACTTCACCATCGTACAACGGCCTTCGCGGCCGCTCGTGCAACTTTGCTTTGTAGGCACCTGTGTTGCGCACCACGACCTCGGATGCGATTCGCCGATTTGCCTGAGTTGGCACACCTCAAGTTTGGCCGTTTGAAAGCCGGCGACCTCGTCATGCTTTCACGAGATTGAGGTGAACCAGGCTGTGTAACTTCAGGTTAGCACCGCGCTAATTGCTGATGGGTGCCATGCAAACTGCTGGCACGGCTGTGTGGCCCAGATATCGACAAGAGGAGAGGCTATACTCAACAAGATCGCAGGCCCCTAAAACTATTATACATATTTCACAACAAACCGTAAAGTAAACAAGCGCCGGCCCGGCCCAAGGCTCTAAGCTCTTACTGGCAATCAACTCTCAACGCAATGAATGGCAATTCTCGCAAGCAGATGCTCTTCGATCTTTCCAGGCCTTGGCTCAGCACTATGTCAGGTTACCAGAGGACAGGGTTTAGGGTTTAGGGTTTAGGGTTTAGGGTTTAGGGTTTAGGGTTTAGGGTGTAGGGTTTAGTCTTCTACCCCCATCATCAGATGCCCTCCGGCTTCGAGCTGTTTTTTGATTCCATGTCATATACGACGCCAAAACTAGTCCCGCAATACACGTCCTCATGCGAGTGCATGCATACAGTTTGAGAATCTGTAATCATGAGCTTCTCTTCTTGGCATTCCTCGCGATTTCTCCGACGAGCTCTGCCAAAAAGGCCGAGAGTTACCACTTTGAGCATGATCGGTTAGGAGCTGAGCCAAACCTCTGTGCAATCCTCAGCGCTCGTTCAGCTTATCCTTCGAATGTGCGGCAGATTGTGGCCCAATGTAGATGCAACGGTGGAAGGACGAACGCTTGGACCCGCTGGAATTGCACAAGTCCCTGCTGAAAAGAGCCTGAACTAGTCAGTTGGCAACAACACTCGATCAACCGTTCCAGCAATTCTCCGGGTTCCTGAAAATTCACTATAGCCACTCACTTACTGTGGTTAGCAGGGAATGAGGGAATTAGGATATACCCTTTAAGGGATTAGAAAGGGTACCTCATTCCCCCACTCCCCACTAGCCAACAGTAAGCTAAACCATGAAGCGTGGGCCTTCACTCGGCCCCTCTCGGGCAGAAAGCGTTAGCACGTGGCCGCAGCCATGGCGGAGCGCGTCAGGAGCACACCCAGGACGAGGGCTAGGGCTTGCGAGGGTTTAGGGTTTAAGGTTCGGGGTTTAGGGTTTACTGCCCCGCCACCCCTTTTTCCGGGCTGTAGGCAGCCTTCCCCCCCCCCCTCCCCCCGTCCCGCCCCCACCCACCACCTGCCCGCAGTGGTGTGGGTGGGGTTGTAGGGTTTGCGTGGTTAGGGTTTGCTACCCTCCCGCCGCCTGTGGTGTGGATCTGGGTTAGGGCTTTCGGGCTTAGCATTTAAGTTTAAATTTAAGTTTAAAGCGTCGGGTTTAGTTTATTCTTTTTGGGGCCGAGCCTGGTTGTTAGCATGTGTTAGCTTCAATCTCAGGGTTTTAGGGTCATGGCCTTAGTGGGCAGTTTGAGGCGTCGGGCTTTGGCTTGGGCTCTTGCGTTGTCGGGTTTTACGGCTTCAGCAGGGCTTGTGGTTTTTGGGCTTTAGGACCTTTAGGACCTTTGGGGCTCCTAGGGTACCACCCTGGTCGCAAAAAAGGACTTCGGCTTGAGCGTCTATGGGAGCTCCAGAGTTTCAGACCTCCTGGGGATGCTGCCAGAATGTTGCTAGAGATGTTTTAGTGATGCTTACATATGTTTGCACAGCGGTTTGTAGCTTCTGGCTCGCCTTCTTGCAGTGGGTCAAAGCTGCCACCAACCCAAGCTATGGAGGGCCTTGCGACCCTCAGCCCCCCCCTCCCTCCCTTGCTTTACGGACTATACCACGGGGGGGGCAGGGGGCCGGACACGCCAACCGCCTGACTATCAAATGTATGCATACATACATGCATGCATACATTATGTCCACCCACATACTTCTGTGGCGCAGGCCATGGCTTATGGATCGCTGGTTCAAGATGTTTAAGCTTCTCTGCCACGTCCCGCTTTCACCCAGTTCAGCCTCTCGGAGCTCAGAGCTCATCGAAAACACAGATAATTACCCTAAACCCTGAACCCTAAACCCTAAACCCTAAACCCGAAACCCTAAACCCTAAACCCTAAACCCACAGATACCCTCCCCCCTCCCTCCGCCAACACATATGGGCAGACCCCTGGTGGATGCAAAGGATGCTGCTCTCGCGCTTCTCCATGTCACGAAGGCTCACAAGGTGTGGCGCATCGCTCACACACACACACACAGCTCGTGTTCAGGGTTTGGGGTTTAGGGTTTAGGGTTTAGGGTTTAAGTGGGTTGAATGCAAGTTTCGGTTTGGTTTGGCATCTGGGATCTGAGCTCACTCGGCTTGCGCGCTATTGTGACCAGCAACTTTGCTGGCTAAACAATCTTTGCCAGATTGTGTTGGCCCCAGTTTAGTGGTTAAACGGACTTCTCAGGTTTGTGCTGAGCCCAGTGCGGGTCCAGTCGAGTTGTGGGTTGCTAGAGTGAGGCTTCGCAGTCTGGACGTGTAAGCTGTGTGTCTGATTGAAGGTTGCACGTGCCGGGCGCGAAGCCCTGAGCATCCCAACAGGTTTTTTTTCTCACCTTCCTGCAGCGGATCAAAGCTGTCGCCACGCCAGGGAGCGCCTCATGTCTGTTGAGGATGCCGACAGAGCGGAGGCGACGTGTCGCGCTTGCTGAAAGTCGTAAAGGCTTCTTGGTAGCCGGGGAGCGGGGGGGGGGGGGGAACTGGGTTCCACTAAATGGCTTAGTTTTCCGTGCGACAAGGCACAGAAGAAGAAAGGGCAGGTGCGTTTTGCCTGTGGCTTGAACTTTCGAGTTCGAGTCGAAAAGGATCTTTGCGGGTATTTCTCTTCACTGGCGATAAGCTCTGTGCTGGTACAGTGTTGAGTTGAGAGGAGTAGGCTGACAACTGCACTTCTCCTTCCTTCGCGGCGCCTGAGCGCCGAACACACGCGAACAAGGGAAGGACCACCTGGCCCCTCGGTCTGAGAGAGCTTGTTCAGGCAAACAAACTGGAGTTTGACGACGAGGACCTTGAGAAGAGGCAGAGCCACAGCCCACGACCCCAAAACACACATTTTGCCAGTGCTGAGCAAATGAGCTTGCTCGCGTTCAGCGGGGTTTGGCATCGGTTTAGGGTTTAGGGTTTAGTGTTCAGGGTTTATTCCCAACATTGCCAGTGTCTTGCCAGTTGGCGCCGGGAGGGCATGCTCCTGAACATGAAGTGCGGGCCCTGGCCTGGCTCCACTTCTCTGCAAAATGCAGCCACCCCATTGCTAACCCTTGCCAGCCCTTGCTTACACAGCATCCTGGAGCAGATGAATCCTATACCGTCTTCTGGTCTTAGGCATAAGTCCTGCGACGTCTTTCTGTCTCAGATCAGAACCTGTTCTTACCCCACCTCGGCTGCCGGAGGTGTTGCTCAAATCAGGGCGTCATGCTGCAAATGTGAGCCAGGTGTTGTGCTCAGTGCTCAGAGGTTGGCAACACTCGAGCTTCCACCTTTGCAACATGTCTACATGAGAATAGGCAAAACTGACCCAGTGAACTGGAACGCAAGCCGTGTCAGTAGCCATGGCTCGGACACTTGCTGGTGTAATTGCAGGGATGCGACGGCGCAGGGCCAACGGCGACGTGCGGCCAAGTCCAAAATCCCCATGTGGTTTGCAGGAGGAGGGACAACGTTCGGGAGAGCCGGAAGCGCAGGGCGCGGAGGACGTCGAGGATGTCGAGAGCATTCAGCCTTCCGATGCTGAGCAGGGAGATGCTGCGGCATCCACGCCGACTCCCACGACTGCCGAGTCTGCTAGCGTTGAGCAAGTGAAGGAGAAGGCATTCAGTGACCAGGAGTACGACCCGGAGACGAGTTCAGACTTTGAGCTCCATGTCAGAGAAGCATGTTTAATCGGCAGTTCCGGTTGCGGGCTTTGACTCCGACCCTCACCTTGCATAGAAATAATATAGAAATGCAAAGCCCCGGAGCTGTTTGAAGAACAGCCCAGGCATGAGGAAGATTCCGAGTCATCTTCCTGGCGGCCGGCTAAGAAGAGGCGGATCCCAGGCCACAGAAACTTGGATGTTCCCGAAAAGTTGTTTGCTCTCTTTCGGGCGAAGAAGCTTCACGAATTGTAGCTCGAAAACCTCAGCCGCATCCTCAAAACAAGCGTGAACCTCCAGAGTCGCAATCCAGACCCCGGCTTGAGAAACTGCCAAGGCCATGGCAAAGATTCTGGCAAGTCCTTGAGGCTGCGCTGTGGCAGAAGCTTCCAATCTCTGGTTGGTGCTGCCGGCGACTTGGCGAACATGAGCGCGTTTTCAGATGTTGCTTCTCATCTGGGTGTTCAGCTTGTTCTCGTTTTCGAAGCATCTATAGTGTTTTCGGATTTAGGATGCTTTCGCGACGTTAATGGCCCAGACAGTGCCAGCCACGGTTTTAGGGCTGCTTTTGCTCGCCTCGCCCCCGCGAAGGTTTCGGAGCGAGGCCGGGATCCAGGCGCTCGCGCTTCCCGAACGTTCCGTGGGCCCAAGCAATGCTTCGCGGATTCTCTTGAGAACGCAGCTTTTTCTTTTCTTGGGGAGGAAGGCCCCATCTTCCAGAATTCGGGTGAGAAAGCCCCCGTTTCCCAGAGATCGCACGGTGAACTGCCACGGCATCCCTCCTCATTTCCGAAAAACAAACACCATGAACTTGACGCAGGACTTTTGCGCTGGCGACTGACCTGTGCAACTTAGGTTCCAGCACCTGAGGAGGCCTCTGAGGGCGGCCAGGGACCGGTCTTCCGGAGTCTGGCAGACGCTCCGACTGGGCACAGCCACTGGGCTCATGCCGGGCATAAACGGTTTAGGGCTTAGGGGTTTGGAGTTTAGGGTTTTGGGTTTTGGGTTTAGGCGGTCGGCTGTAGGAAATGTCCAGATGATGGAAAGTGCGGAACTTGTGCAATCCTGGCATCCCTTGTAGGGTAAGCTCGTGGCTCCCGGAATTCTGATTCTCCAGGGTTGGCGCCGTGCAAAGTGGGCTTAGTCAGCAAGTGCTTGTGGAGTTTTTTTGTGTGTCTCCGGGAACGAAATCGTTTGGACCTCTGAGCCAGAAGGCCACCACGTTGCAGATTAGAAAACCGATCGAACCCAGGACTGCTCCGGTGCCGAAGCGCCTTGGTTTGCTCTCCAGCTTATCCTCAAGCAGCGGCTTTGCTTGGGAACGAGCAGAATTTAGAGCCTCTGGGTCCTGCTGAGGGCAGAGGACACAAAGGCTGTAATTCACTACTCGACATAATTTCTCTCGAAGATTCCTTGCGCTCTTTCCTTGCGTGATTTGCTCCTGACTCTCCCCTCTTGCTGAGTAGGCACTCTGGAAGACCCTGGTAAGCCCCCTAAACCCTAAACCCTAAACCCTAAACACTTGAGACCCTAAGCCCACCTGAGGCTCTCCAAGGAGTTGAATTGGGAGCTACGCCTCGAGCACCTCTTCGCGTGTGATATCGAGCCGACCTCGCAGGTCTTCATTGCACCTTAGCGGGTTTAGGGTTTAGGGTTTAGGGTTTAGGGTTTAGGGTTGAGGGACCCAACTTTTCAACTTTCGGGGCCTCTTCTAAGGTAGTCTTATTCTGAAAGTTTGAGCTTTTCAACTTTTGCGGCCTCTTCTATGGTAGTCTTATTCTGAGAGAGTTTGAACTTTTCACCCTATGGGTGTTTGGGAAGTAAGGCGCAGAACACCAAGCCGAGCGCTTTGTTCCTTGGCAGCTGAGTGAGCACACTTTACGCTTTTTGGGCTGCTCTATAATCCCTACAGAACTGAAAAGTGTGCACTTTTTTGGAGGCTTATGAACTCGGCAACTAAGGTTCGAAAACTTGCTGGATCGAGGTCACATGGGGCATTGCCTGATTGCAGATTCCCCGGTTTGGGTGCCCAGCAGTTTGGACATCTACGTCGCGGGCTTCCCTTGCAAGGACTTCTCGATGCTCAACTCAAACCGCCCCTGCCTGGAAGGGCCGAATGCGGACACTTTTCATGGCGTGGTGAATTATATCAGACAGCATGAGCCAGCAACTTTCGTTCTGGAGAATGTGGTGGGCTTAACTCACAAGAAGAATGGGGAGAATGCACCCATTGAGACGGTGATGGACATTCTGCGTGATCTTCCTCACTATGAAGTCCGTTACTGGCGGGTCAACTCACTGGACTACCATCTGCCTCAAAATCGCCCACGCATCTACATTGTTGGCATCCACACCGGGCGGGCCACCTTACATCTCCCTCTGAGCCAATGGGGCCAGCATGTGCGCGGAATGGAAGAGCACCTGGAATCTGAAGTGCACGATTTCATGCTGTCCGACTCCGAGGAAGAAGTTTCTTCACAAAGGCAGCGCCTCGAGTGTTCACAGAACGCTCATCGCGGGGAAGCCCGTGGACTCCGTTGGACGAAGACAAATGCTCAACTTCGAAAGCAATGGGGCCTGAAGCATGCGGAGCCACTACTCCCCAAAGGAGTCGGCTGGTCGCGATATCTCAGCCTGCGCTCACAGGATACTCTAGAAATTCACGCGGGCCGAATTTCGAAAGGCCGACAGAGGCCTGCAGAAGAACAAGAGGTGGAGGATACAAAAGACCTGATGAACTCGAAGTTCTGCACGGAGATTTCCAGGAGTGCGGCGTATGGTGCAAGCAGATGGAAGTCGAGCCCGTGTATCACTCCTGGAAGCCGGATTTGGGTCTTCAACCGCAAGAGGTGGCTGCTGGGCCTGGAGACTTGACTGCCCAGTGGTTCAAAGTTTGCTGTTGTTTGCTGCTTTTTTGCACCAAGTCACATACGTCAAACCTAAACCGGCTGGCTGCTACCTGCAACCTGCTGCTGATTCTGATGACGACGATGATGCTGTGATGGTGGTGGTGGTGGTGGTGGTGGTGGTGGTGGTGGTGGTGGTGGTGGTGGTGGTGGTGGGGTGGCTGTGGTTGTTGGCGTTGCTGTTGTTTGTGGTAACTGTGGTCGTTGCGGTGGTCTGGGCAGCTCTTGAGGTTCTTGCTATTGTTCTTGCTGTTGTGATTGTTGTTGTTGTTGCCGCTGTGGTGGTTTTGCTTGGTGCCTAGGGCCTAAGCCGCCTTAAGCCAAACAAGTGTAAGCCTGGTCGTGCAGGAGATGATGGCTTTGCAGGGTTTCCCCGTCGACGAGCTTAATCTGGATGGCTTCTGCTTCCCTTGTTCAGTAGAGTTTCCTTCTTTTCCACTGGCACAAGCGGCCACAATCCTGAACCTTCAAATCATGCCCCTTACTGGGCCTTACTGACTCTCACGGCTAAAGCTCCAAAACCGAGAGGGAGAGAGAGTCTGAAAGACAGAGACTGGGACGCGTCGAACCCCAGGCTTGCAGGATCGACATCTGGCGCTTCTTGCCGGAAACGCCATGTCAGTGCCCGTTGTGGGCCTCTTCTTGTACATGATCCTCGCCCATGTGTCCTTCACAGCGCGCCCTGGTCGGATATTGTCGTCACGATTACGGCCTTTTTTGCTTGCGAGGGTTGGTAGACCATGAGATCAAAGTGCCACAGTCATGATGAAGACCCTTATCGATCCAGGCCGGGTCCGCCGCGCCTTCTGACTTGAGCACACGATGGCGGGGTATCTTTCAAAGCCGACCTCATTGACCTCTTTCCTTAATACTTTGTCATAGTTGGGTAACATTTTACATATTTAAGGGTACTTCAACCCAATAAGGAATAAACATTTACATGTTCAATATTATCCCAACCATGAACTAGAATATTCAGGCGGCCAGTCCAGCTCTAGCAAGGTCCAGGGTTTATCTTCGAGGGTTGCATCCATAGGTTCTCATGCATAGTGTGGGTTTAGGGTCTAGGGTCTAGGGTTTAGGGTTTAGGGTTTAGGGTTTAGGGTTTAGCACCCTACGCCCCCGGAGTCCAAGAGACAAATCAGGCTTTCAGGACCCAGGCTTTGATGATCTCCGAATCGAATGGCATCGAATGGCAGAGGGCTGTCGGGCTTACGGGAGGCCGGAATCCTGGCAATGCCATTCGCTTTTTGGAAGTGTGCTGAGAAACAGCCGCTTCTCCATTTCGAGCTGCGTTCATGCAGCATCGTGCCAGGAGCAAGCACCCAAGCGAAGCATTGAGCCAGCAAGGATAGCATGATGGACTTGCTTACTGGTGCCGAGAGCTGCGTTGAGATAATGACCCCTTATACTCTGTGCTAATTCAATTTTTCAGTGCTCACACATGAGCTCCTGACCGTCCGGCTCACTTCAAAAGGCAGAGATGCTGCGAGAAGCCGCGTAAGTACGTGCAAAGATCATGCCGACTGGTCAGCTGCTTCCACCCTTAATTTGTTTGACATGCCGCTACGTTTCACCGACCGCGTGTCTTTAAGGCAATAATAAAGGTCTGGCTATGAGCTACTCTGGGTCAGGGACTGTTCGCTTCTTTGGGAATGAAAGCTACACAGTTCGAGTCTTGCTCGTAGACCCGCAAAATTGGTCCAGCACTAAGGGCCCAAGCGAATCGAGTCAGGTTGGGTTGTCAGCAGCTGCTCTTCATCAACCTGCTTTGGATGGCTTGGGCGTGCGGGCCTTGTCACTGCAGCATGGCTTTGGGTCATGGGGTGGCTTCAGGATCTTGACGGAGTTTGCTTGTTGTTGGGGTGGCATGCTTTCAGAGTGCTGTACTCACAATCTGCCAGTGGCCCTTTGAAGAGGGTCTTGATTCGGTCTCCATTGTTTGAGGGGCGAGGGGCGCTAGGGGCACAAACTGTCACGTCCTGAACCAGAACAAGTGAAGCGAACAAATACCAGAACAAATGAACAAGCAGAGATTGTGCCAGCTCGCACTCCCTGGCCTGTCAACCTTCAAAAACCATCCCCAATCGAGACAAAACTCTCGATCCTCAATGAAAGTGCACTTCGAAGCACGGACGTCTATGTTTC